TGTGGCCAGCCAGAGCCAGCCACTCAGTACTTGGCCAGGGGGGTTCTCCCAAAGAGAAAACCCCCTAGGGACAAGGGAGGAAGGAACCAAAAGGCCACACATCCTCCCCCCCTAGACTTCAGGGCAGGCCCGAGGACCCACACCCTCCATCCTGTGAGGAAATAAAACACACACATAAGAGTAAAGTGACAAAACGTGGGAGAGTATAAATTAAATAAAAAATAAAAAAAGTGGTCATGCCAAATTGTGCACAGACCAGGCCCTGAGGCCTGTAGCAAAAATTGCCCCGAACTTAGCCAGAAGGCCTGGTCCTGAGGGCGCTGTGCAGAAAAAGTGGTGAACACAGTGGCCATGTGCCTTTTCACACTGTGGGGTCCCACACCCAGGTGTTACTAAGAGCACCCCTGAGGCGACCACTGGTTTGCGGACTTTCTGCCTTCCCAGCCCCTGGCCAGACAAGGTAGATCCGCTCAAATCAGGAGGTACTGGGCCCCTCTGGCGTTCCAAAGGGGAATTGCTCCCGGGCCCCAACTCCAATGGGCACCACGGTTTCTGTTCCCCCCGTATTAACCATCAGGACCCCCATCATACCAGCAGGGGTACTATACAACCAGTAATTCCCGCAAAGGTAGAATTCAGGACATAGATTTTTTTTTTTTTTTTTTTTTTTTAAGTCCCGCAAACGTGCAAACTACAACGAAAAACCCGTAAGTGTTCACAAAAAATGTGCAAGTGCAAAACACCACACGAAAAAGTGCACTTAGGGGTGTGTTTGTCCTACCCCCGAAAGGGTTGGACCGTTCACCCGATCCCCCGGGGCACGAAGCTCCTGACAGGGACAAGGTTCCCATTTGGTCCTCCTGGCCAAAAGGCCTGGTGGACCACCGTTCCTTATGCCCAGCCGAAGCCGGACATCCAGTACTAGGCAAGGGGGTTCTCCCGAAGAGAAAGCCCCCTAGGGATCAGGGGAGGAAGGAACCGTATGGCCACACATCCTCCCCCTAGACTTCAGGTAAGGCCCGAGGACCCACACCCTCCATCCTGTGAAAAACACACACATAAGAACAGAAAAAAGTGACAAAACGTGGGAGTGGTTTAAATAAATAAATAAATTCAGGACATAGATGGCGATACTGGACAAAGCCTGAACAAAGATGGTGCCATCCTTTTTGAGAGAGAAACCGGTTACGGCATTGCCAGGAGGAGTTTGGTGACCCCTGTGAGAGATAATAAATACCTGGAAGGGTTGTACTGACACATAACTATTCTTGTATCCTGGCCAGCCATGGTGCGCCTGTCTCCAGTTCTACTGTCCTGTCTTGTTTATTGTCTTCTCATTACTACATTGTAACAGCCCAGAATTGCCTTTTGCAATGGCGATGCCTTTTTGCATATTTGGGTTGGAAAGTGAATGAGGTGGTTGCAGTCACAGCAAGGTTATCCTTTTTCATTTCTGAAGAGTTGTGACAATTCCAAGACGACCCCCACCCCACCTCCCAATTCTAGCTTCAGGCTTTGCTGTCATTCTTCTACGTGCTTTCGCCGCGGGAAAGGTCATCCTCGCTTGGACCAACGAGCGTGACCAGGCCGAGCTGTTAATTGCACACCTTCTGCAGGTCTGCCAGATAGGCTGGCATCGGCGCGAGGCAGGCAGGCGGGGCGCACAACAAAGGTGATAGCGCTGCACCAGGACGCCTCGACTCTAATCCCAATTAATTTCATTCAGCCGGTCCGAGCATAATGCCAGCAGTTAATTACAATGATCACACTGTTGCTTCTCTTTAAAAGCAGGAGGTTGTAGCGCTGCAAGGCCCAGCGCCGTTAATTGCCTGACTCACAGGGAAGCTATTGATTTGGAGCCGTCAGGGACGGCTCCCCGGCTCAGAAAGGATTACATCCCTAATTGTTCCTAGCCTTCCGTTAACAAGATACGCTTCAATAGCGACTCTGAACCTTATCAGCCTCTGTGCGCTGTAATAAGCGGCTTCTTCCTTCCATCCTCACATCCGCACTCTAACGGGAAGGGGGGGGGGGGGACAATGCAACTAGATGTGCATCTCCAAAAAATGCTGCCCTGTTTTCCAGCTGCAGGGGCCCTGTTTCTCCCCACTGGATCCCCCTGAGATTGACAAACTGTCAGGGTGGTTAAATCCACATCATCGATAGAACAGTTTTGGGTGGACTGACCCTTTTATTTATTTCAGGTACTTATATAGCGCCGTCAATTTACGCAGTGCTTTACATATATATATTGGGCAGCACAGTGGCTAAATGGTTAGCCCTTCCGCCTGGCAGTACTAGGGTCGCTTGGTTCGAATCCCAACCCCGGCACCACCTGCCTGGAGTTTGCATGTTCTCCCTGTGACTGCGTGGGTTTCCTCTGGGTACTCCAGTTTCCTTCCACACTCCAAAGACATGCTGGTAGGTGAATTGGCTCCTGTCTAAATTGTCCCTAGTATGTGTATGTATGAATGTGAGTTAGGGACCTTAGATTGTACACCCCCTTGAGGGTTAGGGACTGATGTGAATGTACAATATATATGTAAAGTGCTGTGTAAATTGACAGCGCTATATAATTACCTGAAATAAATATATAATTTTGTACATTCACATCAGTCCCTAACCCTCAAGGGGTGTACAATCTAAGGTCCCTAACTCACATTCATACATACACATACTAGGGACAATTTAGACAGGATCCGATTCACCTACCAGCATGTCTTTGGAGTGTGGGAGGAAACCGGAGTACCCGGAGGTAACCCACGCAGGCACTGGGAGAACATGCAAACTCCAGGCAGGTGGTGCCATGGTTGGGATTTGAACCAACGACCCTAGTACTGCCAGGCCATAAAGTCTATAGAGCTGTAATGCGAAGGCCTGGACACAGAGGTGAAGACTTTGCGGTGCTGGATGGATTTTGGGTGAAGTGGTTTTTGAATGCAATGATGCAGAAAGGAATAGATGACACCAAATGGAAAGACTTTCATTCAGTTTTCACAGAGAGCTTTTTTTTTTTTTTTTCTTTATTAAAACCAAAAAAGAATGTATACAAATGTAACAAAGTGTCAGTATTGTATTGTTTCATTTGTATTTCAGTATGGTATCACTAGTATAGCATGGCTTGTGCTTAAGTCTAGAAGTATTGTATATTTTTTTAGTTTTTTTTTTTTTTTTTTTTTTGTTTGTTTTTTTTTACGAAGGAGATAAAAAAGGATAAATGCACTTTGCTACAAAGTATACTTGTCCTTTTAAGTCCATTAGAGCCTTCTTGATTTTGAGGCCTGTATGAGAACTTTCAGAAATGTGGAATGGGCTTGTTTTTTATTATTATTATTATTATTATTATTATTATACAGGATTTATATATAGCGCACAACAGTTTGCTCAGCGCTTTACAATATAACGGGAGACAATACAGCAACAATACAGTTCAATACAAGAGGGTTAGGAGGGCCCTGATCCTGGGAGCTTACAATCTAAGAGGGAGGGGCTAGTGGTACAAAAGGTAATAACTGTGGGGGATGGACTGGCAGGAGGAGTAGAAGATTCCAGTATTAGCTGAGGGCAGGATAGGCTTCCCTGAGAGTTCCAGAAGATGGGGGAAGCTCTAGAGAAGTCATGGAGACGAGCATGGGAGGAGGAGACAAGGGAGATAGAGAGCAGGAGGTTGTGCGAGGAGCGGAGAGTACGGTTTGGGTGATATTTGGAGACAAGATTGGTGATGTAATTTGGGGCGGAGTTATAAATGGCTTTATATGTGATTGTTAATGTTTTGAATTTTATCCGTTGGGCAATGGGAAGCCAGTGGAGGGATTAGCAGAGAGGGATGGAGCACACGGAGTTCAGGCCAGTGGAGGGATTGGCAGAGAGGGGTGGAGGCCAGTGGAGGGATTGGCAGAGAGGGGTGGAGGCCAGTGGAGGGATTGGCAGAGAGGGGTGGAGGCCAGTGGAGGGATTGGCAGAGAGGGGTGGAGGCCAGTGGAGGGATTGGCAGAGAGGGGTGGAGGCCAGTGGAGGGATTGGCAGAGAGGGGTGGAGGCCAGTGGAGGGATTGGCAGAGAGGTGTGGCAGATACAGAGCGGTTAGTAAGGTGGATGAGTCTGGCAGCAGCATTCATGATAGACTGAAGAGGGGATAGCCTGCGATTTGGTCGGCCAATGAGGAGGGAGTTACAATAATCAAGCAGCAGCACTCTACTGCCCCCCTGAATAGTGACCTGTGACGGATCCCTTTTCTGAGGTCAGAAGAGCAGCAGATGCCAGATGTTGAGTAGGCGATACTGTCCTTTTTTGGATTGCATTTGCCAATTGGTCCTATTCACTTGATTAGGCTGCATTTTGTAGTGGTATTGCCTGCCATACTTGGCATGCTGTATAATGTATTCCACAATGCTTGCTTTCTGGCAATATGTACTACCCCCTGGAATGTAGATGAGGTGACTGAGCTGTGGTTTTACCATCCCCTGACCAGTTTTTGTGAAGAGCACTTAGTGTGTAATCAAGTGATAAGCCACTGTGCTTCAGGAGCCTGTATTACTTTATAATTGGCAACAACTAACCTAAAGTAACAGCACGATTCTTGGGACAGATGGGCAATCGTGTCCATTTTAGATCTGGTGATGAGACCAGGGTGTGTATGGTGTCCATTGTCCATGTATTCCTATGGGGACTGTTATAGAGGCCCTGAAAGGTGTTGTCACCCACCTCCTGTGCTTCCATACAGCAAAGCAGGGCTGGGAGGAATCACAGCATTATAGGGTCTTTTATCAAGCAGTGAATGTGACTTTCACCAGACATTCCCCGGTGGAGAATAAATCCCTGCCACTTAAAATACATGGAAGATTCACCTGCAGTGAATAATTGCTGAATGTCAGATCCACCATTTTAAATATGTCCCTATGTGCATTACGTTTTTCCATTGTGCGCTGGACTGAAATTGGTTGTTTTGGATATAAACCTTTTGGTAATCGTTTAACATGCAACTTCTGCTCCTGTTTGCAGGATCGTCCATAAGCAGCGAGTCTTCCCCCGTGTCCTCACCGGCAACCAACCACAGCTCTCCTGCCAGCACGCCAAAAAGGGGTCCGATGGGGCCGATCATAGTGCCCCAAGCGGGACACACTGTGCCGAACACACCACCCGTAGTGACCATTGCACCGACAAAGACCGTGAATGGAGTATGGAGGAGCGAGGCCCGCCAGGTAAGAGGAACCTCTTCCAGTTATGGAACAAATTCTTTGGACACCTGACTGGTCGTATACCTACAACTACATGGGCAAATGCTTAGGAACTCCAAAAGTATGTGGACCCTCCCGCCAAATGTCTGAGTTAAGGTGTCTCCAGTGAAGGGTACAGTTAATAGTACATTGTAGACAATTGTACCCTTCAAACCTTGTAGTAACAATTTGATGAAGACCCTTTCTGTTCCACCATGACTGTGCCCTGTGTGCAAAGCCAGCTCCATAAGGACATGGTTTGACCAGGTTGGTGTGGAAGAACTCGAGTGTCCTGTACAGAGTCCTGACCTCAACCATTGGGATGAATTGGAACATCAGTTGTGAGCCAGGTCTTCTCATCCAATATCAGTACCTGAACTCATAAAATGGTCACAAATTTCCACATATACCCTCCAAAACCTTGTGGAATGCTTTCCAGGAGGAGTGGAGGATGTTAGTTGCCCTCCTTTGCAGATATTAATGGCAATGGAATTAAGGCATCAAATCCATATAAATGGCCGTGTTTTTGGAATGGGATGTCATGCAGGTGTGATAGGTATCTCGGGGCCTTTGGCCAGGCAGGGATAGGCAGAACATACATGTTGGCATGTTAAAGGACCAGTAAAATGGGATACAAAGTTCTTATTATTATTTTTTTTTTTTTTTTAGCATTTATCATTTTGCTATAAAGCTATCATTCTTCCCTTTGTTCCCTGTCTGTCGATTCAAAATTCTTACAAATACAAGAGTTTTAACTGCTTACTAGATTAAAATTAACTCCTTGTGGGCAACATCTTATTTCCATTTAAAGGGATAATCGTGATCTAAGCAGGCCATAGATGGTACAATCCCTTGATTTCAACCCCCTCCCCCCCATTACCATAGTCAGTGTTGATGGGGAATCACTCCTGCAGAGCTATTGTGTTCTCCCGGTGGGGGTGGGGGAGCCATCCCTGCCAGAAAAACACATTTCTTGTTAAGGGCTATAGCTGCTGGCAATAATCGCATACTAGAAAACCAACATGCTGGTTGTAGTCGATCCAATCAGGCTGCCCATAGATAAATTGAATCTTGGCCCCTGCTGAACCAGCTGAGATTCCATCCGTCTCTGGCTGGCTTTGACAGCTCAGATGCACCTTAGAATTTTGGAAGCCTCACTGGAGACTGGTAGAAGTGCAATATGGAGGTAATTATTGAAATGTGTCTGAGGCAAGGTGTGTCTTAACTGCTGCCATTGCTCATAGCAGCCAATCCGCTTCTGTCTGTTTTGTTTGTTTGTTTCGGACATTTTGTATTCAGTACCCCACTAATCAGCTGGCTGACAGTCCTCTTAGTGGGAGTCCATTATTTTTTTCCCTCCTTGCAGTTAAATTCCATTCTCTTACAGCTGGCCATACATGGAATAAATTTTGGTGAAATTCGAGCTATGAATATCTGTCTGCCAGGGGCGGGCTGACAACTCAAGGGGCCTCCGGGCAATAGGGATCATGGGGCCCCTGTGCCCTTGCTCAAACTCAAAAAAGCCTATGAAAAGGGTACCAGGGGCATCTCATGGGGGCCCCCTACTGACCCCGGGCAGTGCCCCAATTTCCAAATGGTCAGTCCGCCCCTGCTGTCTGCATCATCCTGCCTGACATCTTTTGATCTGAAAATCGAAGGAGCCAGACAGATCACTCTCAGCTGACCAGTGCTTGCACTCAATCAGATGCAATCGCTGTTTGGGTATTCAGTAGTTAAGAGGAAGTTCTTCACAAATGCTGTTTTGTAAGGATGAAGGGAATTGATAAGATTTCTCTTGTTCAGCCCATGGGTCTGAATGAAGGAAATGTTATCGTTTATGCCCATCTTAAGTGTGATAGTCGAGATCTATCAGACTTGGCCCTCTTATTAACCCCAGATTCATACCTGTGCGGGTGGTGTCGCTGCGGATCCGCACCAAAATCCGTGCAGCTGCACCACCCGCACAGAGGAATGTGGACCCGCGGGTGGGTGCCATTAGTTCTAATGGCACGCCACCCGCACTGGAAAACGCAACCGTACTTGGAACCGAGGTTCCCGTGTGGGCTGCGTTTTCCAAAGAAGTGCAGGGACTTCTTTCCCTGCGTGTCACGGGCACGGGAGTCCATTCAAATGAATGAGCTCTCATGCCCGTGCAAAACGTGGCCCGCATAGATGTGAATCGTGGGGTAAGGGACAGTAGAGATCTGTCAGACTTGGCCAGCCAGGAGAGATCTGTCAGATATGCCGAACTGATCAGCAAGCCCCTCCATAAACGTGTATATTGGGTTCGGCTGGTCATGTGGGTTTGTATTATAGGGTGTGAAGGGGCAGCTGCTGCCACATGCAGGAGCAGGGGGCTGTCATCTGAATCTCCTACATACGCTCTTTACTACATAGGATGCTTATCTTTGCTATCAAAGCTTTTCAAATCCGTGTTGAAATCAGACATCCTGTCGAGGGAAAAATTTCATGAAAAGAGACTTGACCTACATAAAGAAATATTCTGCTCAGCTTTGATGTCCGATGCAAATTCGATGCCACAATATTGCTTGCATTTTTAATCAGCGTTTGATACAAAGCGACAAGGCCGCGCCGACCAACCTCTGCTTACATCAGATAATCCTTGCACCCCGTGGGAGGTGGAGGGTGGGCTACCTTGTGTGGAAGCCAAGCACCCCCCCCCCCTTTAATATTTTTAGCCCATGCTGCCCCTCTGACCTCCCCCCTATGCTGGATAGCCAGGGGCAGGTCACAGTTCACAGGCAGCTGAATGCTCGCCCCCAGCAGGGTGGGGGAAAGAGGAGGGGGAAGCTCACTGAAGGCTTTACACACAAACACAAGGGCCTGGAAAGTGAACAGATGTTGTGTTCATTAAGAATTCCAATCAACGGAGCCCCATCCCTTTCAATTAATTATGGCTGATGTGTCTGGAGGAGGGGGAGAGATTCTCGGGGAGGGAGAAGAGGCTTCTTCCAGCTTTGTAAATACATTTTTGTCTTGGGCTCTGTGGCTTGTTGTGCGTTGTGAAACCAGCTTGATGTTCATGCATCAGACTTAGGCAGGCTGCATAATCCACAATATTTGGTAGTGCTGTACAGAGAACACTGAGCCAGTCACATCAGTCTCTGCACCAGAGGAGCTTACACTCTAATGTCCCCCCACAGTCACACACTATTATTATACATTTATATAGCTCTGATATATACTACAGTGTTGTACAGAGAACACTGAGCCAGTCACATCAGTCTCTGCACCAGAGGAGCTTACACTCTAATGACCCCCCACAGTTATACACTATTATTATTATACATTTATATAGCTCTGACATATACCGCAGTGCTGTACAGAGAACACTGAGCCAGTCACATCAGTCTCTGCACCAGAGGAGCTTACACTCTAATGCCCCCCCCCCCCCCACAGTCAGACACTATATTACATTTATATAGTTCTGACATATAACGCAGTGCTGTACATATACCCCCCCCCCCCCCCCTCTTGATAACTAACCTACATGAACACTCTTCACCCCTCCAGAGCGAACCTACATAACACCCCCCCCCCCCCCCCCTTAGCTTCCTTCCTCTATGGCAGGGCCACATCTTGCAATGTTGTAAGTCAGAACACCTTATTGCCATTAATTGCTAACTAAGTCGTAATTGACTTGATGGACCATCCCAAAGGCTGAAGCTGCATTCTTTCATTCCTCCATATAAATGCGAGGGCTCCACTTTTATTATAAATAAGTGATCCTGCCATAGAGGACCATGTTCAGGCACTTCCTGTTAAAGGGCAACAACGCTCTCACATGTTTGTCTGTCTGTGGCATTTGCAGCACACATTATGCAGTCATGGTCAACTGTTGTCACCATCAGGAAACCTGCCCTGAGAAATGCCATGTAGTCATCCCTGGATTGCATGAAGACAAGAAGTGGTTGCAGGACAATTGAGCACAGACTTGCAACTAAGGCCGGCCATACATGGGTTGAAAATCAACCGATTTTTAGTCTGAAAATCGGACCTAAGAATAATCGGCCCGTTTTTCGCTCTGTTAGCGGGTCAATAGCACCGGACGATTTTCGTGGTTCCTCCCCTTTTCGGTGATCAGGAATGTTGGAAAAACCCACCAATTTTCGACTCGATGGTCAAATTGTACAATCGTTTTTCCAGAAAGAATCTGCGCATGAGCGTGACCTGGAAGGAACAGAAGTTTCGCCTGTTATATGGGGTGAACTTTATAACTTGGTCAGCCGATTTTCGAAATCATTGATGGCACGATCGGATTACCGAGCGAAACGATTCGACCCATGTATGGCCTGCATAAGGATATAAAAATGAAAAAAAATATTTTATTTGGGGATAAAAGGGGGGTGGAGGCGGTTTTCTGATGCACAGAGCAAACTAAATGTCATCTGCTTACGTCTACTTTAAAAAGTGCGGACTGCCAAATGGGCCATGGAAGAGCATTCCATAGCCAGGTACAGCACAGGAACAATCTTGTTGGTGAAAATGCCATAGGATGTGTTAAATCGATGACGGATGGAATAGGTCGGGATGGGAATGAACAGATCGCTGCTATTACAGAGGACATTAGAAGTGAGCACAAGAGACCAGCTATGGGCTACAAAGTGCACGTTTGTAATTATGCGCACAATAACCGCTCTGCCATTGTTGCACTTTGACGATATTTCCTGGCAGATGTAAGCACTTGACCTGTCGAAGCGCGGCTGCCGCTCCTCTCTGGCGGCAGCAGCTGCATTTGTTTGGGGATAATAGGGAGGCGAGCAGAATGAAATGTGTAAAGCGCGCGGGGTAAGTGCTTCACGGAGCAGCCCGCAGACACTTGACTGTGCCGTTCCGCTCGTCTTGCTCCCTGCGGCTGATCTGCTCTGACGTTCTGCTGCATTTTACCAGATCAGCAAGCATGCAGATTTCACCGCCGCGCTCCTTGGCCCATCTAACCATTACAAACCATCCAGCCTTGTAAAGAGACCCCTGAGAGACGCATCGTTCAGGCCTCGGCTGGCTCCTTTTCATTTTTATTTTTAATTCCCGGCTCTATAAAGCTGCATATGTTTGCACAATGAATCATAGCCTAGCCAATCCAGATCGCACTCCATGTGATCTCCAGTTACCTTCTATTATATACAAATCAACTGATGCTGCATATGTCACATTTTATGCTTATTGGGGTTTTTTTAATAGGCTTTAATGGAAAAAAAAAGCTGAAGGAGGATGGGTCCCTCTGTGAATAAATGGGGTCATTATTAAAAAACTGACACTTCATATTAGTTTTTTGCACCAGAGGAGCTTACAGTCTAATGCCACATTGTTTTTAAAATTATTAATTTATATAGCTTTATATGCTGTACAGAGAATGCTGAGCCAGTCACTTCAGTCTCTGCACCAGAGGAGCTTACGCTCTAATGTCCCCCCACAGTTATACACTATTATACATTTATATATATCGCAGTGCTGTACACAGAACACTGAGCCAGGCACATCAGTCTCTGCACCAGAGGAGCTTACACTCTAATGTCCTCTCTACAGTCACACACTATTATTATACATTGATATAGCTCTGACATATACTGCAGTGATACAGAGAACACTGAGCCAGTCACATCAGTCTCTGCACCAGAGGAGCTTACACTCTAATGTCCCCCCACAGTCGCACTATTCTACATTTATATAGCTCTGACATATACTGCAGTGCTGTACACAGAACACTCGGCCAGTCACATCCATCTCTGCACCAGAGGAGCTTACACTCTAATGTCCCCCCACAGTCGCACACTATTATTATAGATTTATATAGCTCTGACATATACCGCAGTGCTGTACAGAGAACACTGAGCCAGTCACATCAGTCTCCGCACCAGAGGAGCTTACACTCTAATGTCCCCCCCAACACAATTATCCGATGCTCTTTTATCATTGTATACAACAGCATTGCAGTTTTTAAGGATGTAATGAAGGAATTCCGTACACTTCTGTGGGTTCAGGGAAGGATTTCTGGATATCCCCGACTAATCCAAGAATGGTAGTCACTAGGGTGGCTCTTTATATGAAGGATAATGCATGTCTACAATTGTGTATAAGAATCGGGAGAAGATTTACGAGCAAAACCACCAGGCCATGCTTCTTTACAAGTCACACAATGTCCGGCTGACCTTAATGAGCTACCTTTTTAAAAGGGAGTGCACCCTACCCTGATTTATACCCCTTCCCTGACTAGGGCAAAGAGTTTGCCAGTGTATTTTTAAAGTCAGAACCCAAAGGAGAGTGTAAAGGTTTTGACAATACAAATAAAGTTCATTAATTTACAGTGATTGTTTAAATGTAGCAAATGTCACGTTTTGGAGGTTGCCCCCTTCATCTTTCTTAACACTGTTGGACTGGAAAATGGCTTGTCCTTTACTAAGACTTCCAGTCTTCCATTGCCAAGCTGCAAAGCCCCCCTCTCCATTTTTAGGGGGTTACCAGGATCGATAAACTTTGTTCCACAATTTCTGGTTAGCAGGTATTGATTACTATGGCAGACTTTATCTAGAGGGTTAACCATTTCATAGAGCTCTCTTCTACAAACTCTGGGCTGTAAGGGCCAAGTCAGGGCCCTCTGTGCACTTCACACCAGATTGAAATATATGCCTACAATGTGGTCCAGCACTCGCTGCACTACCTCCTAATAGTGACATGTCTCCTTTTCCCTCCAGCAGTCAGACGGTGCCTCCCGTGCGAGCAGTCTCAGCAGAGAACGCCTGATCGCAGAGTCTCAGCTGCCACCAGAGAAGACTGGCACTCCCTCTGTACCCGCACACCTACTGGGGAACGCGTACGCCTTCGCCATCCCGCCAAGCTCCGTCGTCCAAGATGCCCGCTTCCAGCCCTTAAAGTGAGTTGGTGGGCTCCTAAATTTAAAAAAAAATATGCCTCGCTAATGTAAACAATATACAAAGTGTTACAAAAGAAAAAAAAAACTAAATTGAAATGTGAGTTCCTGTGCAAAATGCATATATAATGGTCCCAAATGAGTGGAGTATAAAGCAGGCAATGCAAGCACCACACCACCTACTAGTGCTCCGCCATCTTGTGCTTAATGGAACTGTTACTAGAGTTAGTGGACTCTTTAAATATTAGGGAACAAAGCCTTTTCTGGGTCTCCTCATCCACATGAATGGAGGGTATTCAACCAGAACATAAGAGAGCTGGAAAAGCTACGTAGCTTAATACCATACAATGAAGTTCATTGTAAAGCGCTGTGTAAACTGTTGGCGTTTTATGAGTTCTGTATTATAATAACCATATTAAAAATGTGCTATACACTTACAAGTTAAGACGATAAGCGCTTTTCAGAATGCCGGTCCTGGGAATCAGACAGAACACCTCATGGTTATGGTGTGCTTGCTGACGTCGCGAGCACTGGCTCTTCCCTACGCGTTTTGTCACATCTGACACTGTCAGGGGTCCTCATGGTTGGCCAAGCCAGGCTCTGTGGCCAGGTCTAATGGAGCTCTTGAGTATTTTTTTTTTTTTTTTTGTAATGCAATTGCCAATCAATTTTCCTAGGAACAGCACAGTAGCTTAGTCATTTTTATTTAGACCTGCAGTGCTGGGGCCCCTGACTGCTATTCCAGCCAGGATGCTATCTGCATGAAGTAAGCATGCTCCCCTTGCTTGAGTTTCCTGCAGGTACTCCACAGACATGCTGGTGGGTTAGGAATAACGGCACATTGGAGGATGCATGCAACAGAACCTCCTAGGAAAGTGTGATGGAGGCCACAGCTGTTCAAAGGATAGAAGGTCAGAGACAAGGATACTGGAGAGGTTGTCTTTTGCACTAAACTGCTTTTTATTATTTTTTTGTTACAGCCTCTTTAAAGGTGAAAAGATATTGATATCATTTCAAAGATCTTGGCATTGATGGGAAATTTTCTTGCCTTTCAGCCTCCAGAGGCCGGTTCCCCACGTGGTCCCTCCCAGCACGGTAACCGAGGAATACCTGCGTAGCTTCCGTCCATACCACACAGCTGAAGACCTTCGAATGCCATCGCTCCCCCACCTCAGCCTGGACCCAACCGCGGCGGCAGCATATTACCACAACAGCTACCTAGCGGCCCATCACCCCTTCCCACATCCCGCCTTCAGGTAAAAAAAAAAATGTTGCATCTGCGAGGAGAATAAACCCTGGAACACACCCACTGAGACTTTCAGTACATGTATACTGTGATCTGATCAACAGAAGCCGATCTAACCACTGGCTAACGATCATGCTGGAAAGAGCAAAACCTGAACGTGTTTACCCAGCTTAAGGTGGTGTTAAACACCAAAGCAAGCAACTATTATATTGCAGCTTACCAATTCTTAGATGTGATGACTGCATTAGTTTTCTTTTTTTATGTTTTTTCTTCTATTTTCAAGAAGAAGCTCTCCAGCAGAATATCAATTACAGCGATGAGACAAACCATTTAAGCAGGGGTGCTTACAATGATCAGCTTGAATTTATGTAAAATCTTTATCCCAAAAGGAAAAAATGCTGTAACTGCCTTTTTAAAGTATTAGCTGGAGTTTGGCTTCAATCTGTTAGTGTACCTAAATCTGCTAGTCTAACACTCCCCTTCCCACAAACTGACAATGCTGCCTCCAAAGGTGCCTGCTGTGCTCCTTCATCCAGAGTAGGGGCGCTTTAATACAGGAGGTGTGTTACTGGTCATATCACCAGGTGAAAACGGGGGGGGAAGGGGGGGGAGGCTAAAAACAAAAAAAAAAAAAACGAATGCAGCCACCACAACTAATGATTGGTAAGCTGCATTATATTACATTTTTGGTTTGGGGTATAATACTGCTTTTGAGGTTTTCTGGGGTTGAATGATAATCACCAGCTTCCTTTTGTCTTTACAGAATGGACGACTCGTACTGTTTGTCTGCCCTGAGGTCCCCGTTTTACCCATTGCACAGCCCCGGATCCTTGCCACCCCTGCACCCCTCCGCTATGCACCTGCACTTGTCTGGAGTTCGCTACCCAGCAGACCTCGCCCATTCATCACTGTCCGCCCTGCAGTCAGAGCGAATCTCCAGCCTGACAGCCGAGAGGTAATGTCATTGACACTGAGATCTGCAGTTGAATCACTAGCCTGATATGCACCAAGAGGTCACATGCCATGATTAGTGATCCTCAGCCTGTGGGGGTCAGGACAATTTTGATTACCAGAATACATTATATGTGGAGTTTCCAATTCTTTAGGCCTCGTTCATGCCATACGTGCAGAAAGACTGATGGAAACTGACACACAGATTTCACTTGAAGGGACATCCGTTTTCATGCACACGTCAATGAGTTTTATACACGTTGCAGATTCCTGTGCAGAAAAAAAAAAAACTGCATGTGATACTAGTGTTGTGGTGTGAACAGAGCACATGGAGAACTTCATTTTGTTGTGCCCTTGCAGAACAATCCCTGATCCCTGAACTATTTCTTAGCCTTGCTAAATTTGGAGTTCACAAATTTCAGGTCTACATTTCTATTAAATAAATTATATAGTGTCAGCGCTAAATATACCAGCCTTATATTAAATAAATAATGCAAAATCATAAGTAAAGTGCAACAACATGCTCCAATATACGTGATCCAAACCTATGTGACCTAAGGTCCTGATGTAATATCAGAACCTGTGCCTAATATAACAATCAATATTTTATAAACATATTTATAAAACAAATTTATAAATAAACCACACTTAAATTGATAGGTGCAAAAAAAAAGCGACCAAACTGTGTGTATATATAACAAATATACACATATAATCCACTCTGCAATAAAGTTCAAATATGTGTGATATAAATTATAATATAAATATATATCAACCCCTCATACAAATATATAAACCACACTTAAAGTGACCAGTGCAGAAATGTGACCAAACTGATCCAAATGTAAAATATCACAAATTATACGTTTATATATATATCAAAATATTAAAGCTCATAAATCCTCCAATTGGTGCTCAAACAACAAAAAGTTCATGCAAAGTGATGAAAGTGATGGTTTCTGTGTTGGTGTCGGCACACTTATCCTCCGTGGCTAAAATGCCCCCTCACCTCCACTTTGCGACCCAAATGGGCCACTAAGCCTCCAGGATCAATCCTAGATCCTTCACCAGTAGTATCTGGTATCCTCTTTATTCCTCCTGTGGTTCTCCTCTCAGGTAAGTGATTTGAATTCCAGACCTCCCAGGATTGAGACACCAGCTCTGCATATCACTCACCATAAATCATGGTAAGTGAAAGAAAAGATCCTTCATAGTGCAGTATTTTAGTGGATAAATTAGACTCTTTAATAAAAAATGCCCACTCGGTATACATCAATATCACAGCGTTCAACAGCATACAACCTCATGCCTGGGTGTACTGCATGGGTTAGGACTCTTTCTGGGTGTGCCAAGATGGCACCCGTACTGGAAGTACGTCACTGCGGATCGGAAGCTGCGTCACGGCGTATCTACGCGTTGCGTCACTATACCACGTGACTTCATCAGGATCCTGATGTTTGAGGTGATAGAGAACCCAAGTTCTGATGAAGGGTTATTGACCACACCTGAAATTATTTTTCTTTATTCTGCTAAATATCTAATAAAATACCATTTTGTACTCCTCTGACCTATGAGTGTGGAGCTCTCATTACTGCCTATACTTGCCTTTCTCTACCTATTCAATACAGAGGAACCCTTTAAAATAACTTTCCATTCTAAGAAAACCTACTAAAAATGTTTTCTATCTACAACGTAAGATATATATTAGTGTGATGGTCAGTGGAAAAAAATATTCCTACACTTGTGGTCATTGGGGAAAAACTGTCCCTTTACAGATTGCTGAAAAGGTCAGTGGGAACTTATGAGATGCAGAAGTTGCTGATTGGTCAAGCAACCCCCAGCAACCTCTGGAGAAACCCTACGGTGCCATGGAATCCTGGTTGAGAAACCCTGGCCTGTACTGTTTGAGGAGGAATGTCTGTATGCAATACCCACTTCTAGAACAGTCAGTGTTTCATAGGATTCTTGGTGGTGAGAAGGTTCTGCATCAAGATATGTCTTTGCAGGGTACTTAAACAGCTTGTGGGGGAGTGAGTAGAGCATTAGTATGTTGATTGGTTTGGGGTGTACTTTTTCCAATCTGTAGTAGCTTGTACCAGATAGGAAACCACACATTGCTCAGAAAGCCAAATGTTTTATTTTTTTTCTTTCCCTTCCAGACTTCAAATGGATGAAGAGCTCCGGCAGCGGGAGAGGGAAAGAGAGCGCGAACGAGAAAAAGAAAGGGAAGCAGACCGCGAGCGGGAAAAAGAGAGAGAGCGGGAGAGGGAACGAGAGAGGGAGAAGAAAGAGCTGGAAAGGGAGAAGGAGCGGGAGAGGGAGAGGGAGCGGGAACTGGAAAGGCAGCGCGAGAGGGCAAGGGAGAAAGAGGCCACCCTCATGAAGAACCTGGAGAGCCAGTTCTTAGTAGAGTCTGAACTGCACCCGATGCGGAGCCACCAGGAAGAACGGGTGAAACCCGCAGAGCAGCCCCCTCCCAGCAGACCCGGTAAATGAGGACATGAGCCTAGGAAACTGTTGTTGTTAAATATGCTTCATGGCAAGTTACTGAGTATTAGCGAGAAGTTCCTTAGAGGTCCATTCAGATTCAGTTACTGCAGCATTCATTTTGAACCTCACCCCAACATGCCCAGCCACTTTGCGTTGCAAAAAAAAAAAAAAGGGTCCAAAGTGGGGTGTGTTGGCAGCCCATTATTTTCAATGGACTGTCTTTTAAAGTGGTAGTAAACTCCATATTTTTCTTTTTTTTTTTTTTCTTTAACCTACAGGTACGCTTATAATAAAGCTTACCTGTAGGTAAAATTAATATCTCCTAAATGTGCACTGTTTAAGAGATGTTCTAGAGCAGTGGTTCTCAACCTTCCTAATGCCGTGACCCTTTAATACAGTTCCTCATGTTGTGGTGACCCCCAACCATGAAATTATTTACCCAGTAATTATAATTCATGAGTGTCGTTTTACCTCCAATACTGCTGCTTTCAGCACAGTAGCTGCTTTTAACAGAGTAGCTGCTTTCAACACAGCAGCTGCTTTCTACACAGTAGCTGCTCTTTACACATCGGAAATATGTGTTTTCTGATGGTCTTAGGGGACCCCTGTGAAAGGGTTGTTCGACCCCCAAAGGGGTCGCGACCCACAGGTTGAGAACCACTGTTCTAGTGAGTGGCATCCAGTGACATCATTGGCGCATGTTCTCTGAAGGTCCCAGACTGCAGCCGCTTGACGTCCCTCCCGTGCACATACATGGGAGTGATGTCAAGCGGCCGCAGTCTGGGAACCCAGAAGGAAGACCAGGTGAAGATGGAAGCCTCTGCAGCTGTGACCGTGCGTCGCTGGAGGGATACCTTTCAAGGGAAGTCTTTCATAATGTGCTAGTATATGATGCACATTATGCCTTTACATTGCAGGAGGAATTTTTTTTTAACTTTTTACTGCTGCTTTAATGCAATGCAGATTAACATACAGCATAACCCAATAGAAGTAAATGGGCCATAAAGTTGAACTTCAGGCAAACCGCTTAAATACACAAATGTTATACATATATGTGAACTGTTTTACCTGGCAAATCATTTTTGTCCATCCAGTTCTGAGAATTGCACAGCACTGCCACACAGTTTTGGCAGGGCAGCATATCCAATTTTTTTTTTTCTTTGCTGCAGCTCATTAAACAATTGAGTACTGTCCGTGATACTTTTTTTATTTGCACTAACATACAATTTTGAGGACAAGCTCATTAACACTTACAGGTCTTGTCCCTCCCCCAGTGAAAGGGTAACCAGTGCAGTGACATGCCCCTATTTAACCAATTCACTCCAGCTTTGACCAATTCAATTTTGGATTGGGGTGACCACAAAACTCGCATAGACAAGATGGTTCACATATTTTTTGATCACATGGTGTATCGTTCTTTTGATATTAATATAGGTCCTTTTTTGCCTGCAGAGAAGTTAAAAGAACCTTCCCTACAGACCGCAAAGCCAGTCCAACACTCATTACACCAGCCTCCCCCCACGCACCACTCGGTACCCAGCCTGATCTCCACCCACGCTGCTTTTCCCCAACCAAACACTGCGGCGGCAGCCGCTCTCCTGGCTCAGAGGACGCAGGAGGAGGAGAAGTGGCTGGCTCGTCAAAGACGTCTGAGGCAAGAGAAGGAAGATCGGCAATACCAGGTGTCTGAATTTAGGCAGCAGGTGTTGGAACAGCAGCTGGACATGAGTGGCCGTCCTATCAACCAATCGGAGCAAGAGATCAGGCCAGAAAACCTCAGGTTGGTACCGTCCAAAGCTCTGCGTGTACCACCTGGGCTACTTAAAGTAAATCTAAACCCAAGAACAAAATTGTAATATATTGTATCTTACCAGTCATTATATGCAATTGCTACATTTTCATTTTTCAGGATCATTTTTTTTTTTTTTTTTTACCTTTTTTCACCTGTGATCCTGCCAGTAACACACTTCTGTCCTACAGTGACAACACTCACTTGCTGTACTATATCTATTAAGGATCTCCCTAGGACAGAAAGTGTGTTAGGACTACAAAACACCTCCCGATACAATGTTGCAGAGACCTAATTCTGGTTACCTTAGGTGCTCTTTTGCTCAACTTTAAGGCCTGGTTCACACCTATGCATGTCACAATCTGCTGAGGGGGAAAAGTCCCTGACCCAGCAGCTGAAAACACATAGGTGTGAACGTGTCCCATAGGAAACAATGTTAAATGGACTATAGTGTGTTTCTGCAAAAAGCACCAAAAAATGCCTAGGTGTGAACCAGGCCTAAAAAAGGGTTTCAGTAAACTTGTTAGATTTTCTTTGAAACATTGTATCCATTCTGTATAGCAGTTCCCCCTCTGGCGTAGCTGATTCATTACACTGTCAGGTGAGCACAGAACGTCTAATTGTCCTCATCTAGGTCCATCCTAATTGTTCCTCATCTGGTTGAATGTTCTTGGCTTTCAGCAGTGGTCTCCAGACTGCAATCCATGGGCCAGATGCAGCCCTTTGCTTGCCATTATCCAGCCCTTGGGGCCCTGTTCTTTCCACTAATAACTACCATTGGCACATAATTTCCTCCCATTGACAGAATGGGGCAAAATTCCTTCCACTGACACCAATAATGGGGCACTATTCTTTCTGCCGACACCAATGAAGGGGCAGTGTTCCTCTCACTGACACAGACACTGGGGCGGTGTTCCTCTTGCGGACGCGGGGGGCGGTGTTCCTCTCACTGACACAGACACTGGGGCGGTGTTCCTCTCACTGACACACACTGGGGCGGTGTTCCTCTCACTGACACAGACACTGGGGCGGTGTTCCTCTCACTGACACAGACACTGGGGCGGTGTTCCTCTCACTGACACAGACACTGGGGCGGTGTTCCTCTCACTGACACAGACACTGGGGCGGTGTTCCTCTCACTGACACAGACACTGGGGCGGTGTTCCTCTCACTGACACAGACACTGGGGCGGTGTTCCTCTCACTGACACAGACACTGGGGCGGTGTTCCTCTCACTGACACAGACACTGGGGCGGTGTTCCTCTCACTGACACAGACACTGGGGCGGTGTTCCTCTCACTGACACAGACACTGGGGCGGTGTTCCTCTCACTGACACAGACACTGGGGCGGTGTTCCTCTCACTGACACAGACACTGGGGCGGTGTTCCTCTCACTGACACAGACACTGGGGCGGTGTTCCTCTCACTGACACAGACACTGGGGCGGTGTTCCTCTCACTGACACAGACACTGGGGCGGTGTTCCTCTCACTGACACAGACACTGGGGCGGTGTTCCTCTCACTGACACAGACACTGGGGCGGTGTTCCTCTCACTGACACAGACACTGGGGCGGTGTTCCTCTCACTGACACAGACACTGGGGCGGTGTTCCTCTCACTGACACAGACACTGGGGCGGTGTTCCTCTCACTGACACAGACACTGGGGCGGTGTTCCTCTCACTGACACAGACACTGGGGCGGTGTTCCTCTCACTGACACAGACACTGGGGCGGTGTTCCTCTCACTGACACAGACACTGGGGCGGTGTTCCTCTCACTGACACAGACACTGGGGCGGTGTTCCTCTCACTGACACAGACACTGGGGCGGTGTTCCTCTCACTGACACAGACACTGGGGCGGTGTTCCTCTCACTGACACAGACACTGGGGCGGTGTTCCTCTCACTGACACAGACACTGGGGCGGTGTTCCTCTCACTGACACAGACACTGGGGCGGTGTTCCTCTCACTGACACAGACACTGGGGCGGTGTTGTTCCTCTCACTGACACAGACACTGGGGGTGTTCCTCTCACTGACACAGACACTGGGGCGGTGTTCCTCTCACTGACACAGACACTGGGGCGGTGTTCCTCTCACTGACACAGACACTGGGGCGGTGTTCCTCTCACTGACACAGACACTGGGGCGGTGTTCCTCTCACTGACACAGACACTGGGGCGGTGTTCCTCTCACTGACACAGACACTGGGGCGGTGTTCCTCTCACTGACACACACTGGGGCGGTGTTCCTCTCGCGGATGCGGGGGGGCGGTGTTCCTCTCGCGGATGCGGGGGGCGAGCTCCTCTCGCGGACGCGGGGTTGGAGCTCCTCTCTCGCGGACGCGGGGTTGGAGCTCCTCTCGCGGACGCGGGGTTGGAGCTCCTCTCGCGGACGCGGGGTTGGAGCTCCTCTCGCGGACGCGGGGTTGGAGCTCCTCTCGCGGACGCGGGGTTGGAGCTCCTCTCGCGGACGCGGGGTTGGAGCTCCTCTCGCGGACGCGGGGTTGGAGCTCCTCTCGCGGACGCGGGGTTGGAGCTCCTCTCGCGGACGCGGGGGGCGGTGCTCCTCTCGCGGACGCGGGGGGCGGTGCTCCTCTCGTGGACGCGGGGTTGGTGCTCCTCTCGTGGACGCGGGGTTGGTGCTCCTCTCGCTGACACAGACGATAGATAATTTTTAGACTTCCACTGACCACCAAAGCTTGAGGCATTGTTTTCTCCCACTAATGCCAGGATTTTCTACTCCCAATGGCTACAGTCTGGCCCCCCAGAAGTCCGAAGGACTGTAAGCTGGCCCATTGTTTAGAAAGTTTGGAGACCTTTGGCCTATAGGCTATTTTCTCTGTTAGTCAAATCTTTTTTTTTTTTTTTTTTTTACTCAAAGAATGTTCTTAAGGCTTTTTTTTTTCTTGGGATCGTATGTTAGAGAATGTTTTTTATACTCACATTGTGAATGGTAACTGACATTTCACATGTATTACAAACGTGGGTGGTATTTGTGACTTTTGAAGGTTGAGACCTTCACAAGGCATTTTTTTTTTTTAAAAATAGACCCCTTGTCTGTTGGCACTCTTGATCTTGATATACCTTACAGTTTATTTCACGGAGGGTTCTCTTGCTGAAATTGGGGCCACTTCCCATACCCTGTATCAACCCACACAAGGTCTACCTTTTATATTTACAAACTTAGGGTATCAGCTATAGTCAACCGGTTTGGTCTATGCTCACACACACATTTTTTTTTTATTATTTTATGTAGGGTTATAAGCAATCGCAATGAAAGCGGCATCCGAGAGCCCCTACAACATTTCGGAGGCCCGCCGCCGCTTATTTCCCCCAAACTGCAACAACAGCCAACGCCAACTTCATTATGGAACCCTGTAACGCTAATGGAGACCCCAACTGAGCCACGGCGCACCCAAGAACCCACCACTGTCCATAACCATGCCACCACTGTGTACGATCATAACAGACAAACTGTTGCCCCAATCAAAATAGAGCGACCATTTTCCTTTGAGAAGCAGCCAGATGAGGAGGAGGTGGCTCATAGGAGACGGGAACTAATGGAGAAGTACCAGCCCATTCGGGATTCCTCCACATTGGAGCACGCTGGTTATTCCCACGCCCCTTTCCTTGCTGAGCTTGAAAAATCAACGCAGACTTTCTTAAATCAGCAGCGGAGTTCCCTCCAGCAAGCTGGACAGACTATGGAGATTACGCTGCTGCACAAGCCAATCACAGCGCTCAGAGCACCGCCGCCGAGGACGCGAGAGCCCATGTACATTTACGATGAGTTTTTGCAGCAGCACCGCAGGCTGGTCAGTAAGCTGGACCTGGAGGAACGGAGACGGAAGGAGGCTCGGGAGAAGGGTAAGATGCGTATGAGTTGCAGAGATTTATTAAACTGTTTGTGTTTTTGTTTTTTTCTCGTCGAGAACAAAGTAGAGAAATCCTAATTTAAAAACACTCTCAAGTGACTGCTGAAGGTTATGGGCAGAGATGTGCGTTTTCACTCAGTGGTACCCTTGATTTTTTCCCTCTTATTTATTTATTTCAGGTTCTTGTATAGCTCCGTCCATTTACGCAGCGCTTTTTACATATACAGTTGTGTTCAAAATAATAGCAGTCAGACATCACTAACCGGATCAATCGCTGTTTTTGGTAGAAATGATATTTATACATGGCAAATAATTTACTAGCAGGTGTAGTAGAGTAATAGAAATCCAACAGACCCAACAGTCATGACATGCATGCCGCTGATTCTGTGTCATTGAATCACTCATTGAAAGGGGCGTGTTCAAAATAATAGCAGTGTGGAGTTCTATTAGTGAGGTCATTCATTCTTTGAAAAACAGGTGGCAATTATTGCCCTTATTTAAGGAAGGAAGGCAGCAAATGTTGTACATGCTGGTTACAGTGCATTTCTCTGAAATTCCGAGGAAAATGGGTCGTTCCAGACATTGTTCAGAAGAACAGCGTACCTTGATTAAAAAGTTGATTTGAGAGGAGAAAACATATAAAGAAGTGCAGAAAATGATCGGCTGCTCAGCTAAAATGATCGCAAATGCTTTAAAATGGCAACCAAAACCTGAAAGATGTGGAAGAAAACGAAAAACTACCATTGGAATGGATAGAATAGCCAAAATGGCGCGGACTCAACAATCAGCTCCAGGAAGATGAAAGAAGGTGTAAAGTTCCCTGTGAGGACTGTTACAATTAGAAGACGCCTATGTGAAGCCAAGCTATCTGCAAGAAGCCCCCGCAAAGTCCCACTGTTGGAAAAAAGACATGTGCTGAAGAGGTTACAATCTGCCAAAGAGCACATTGACCGGCCTAAAGAGAAATGGCGCAACATTTTGTGGACTGATGAAAGTAAGATTGTTCTTTTTGGGTCTAGTGGGCGGAGACAGTTTGTCAGACGACCCCCAAACACTGAATTCAAGCCACAGTACACTGTGAAGACAGTGAAGCATGGTGGTGCAAGCATCATGATATGGGGATGTTTCTCATACTACGGTGTTGGGCCTATTTATCACATACCAGGGATCATGGATCAGTTTGAATACATCAGAATACTTGAAGAGGTCATGCTGCCTTATGCTGAAGAGGAAATGCCCTTGAAATGGGTGTTCCAACAAGACAACGACCCCAAACACACCAGTAAACATGCAACATCTTGGTTCCAGACCAACAAGATTGACGTTATGGAGTGGCCAGCCCAATCCCCGGATCTTAATCCAATAGAAAACTTGTGGGGTGACATCAAAAATGCCGTTTCTGAGGCAAAACCAAGAAATAGAGAAGAACTGTGGAATGTGGTCCAATCATCCTGGGCTGGAATACCTGATCACAGGGGCCAGAAGTTGGGGGACTCCATGCAACACAGATGTACAGCAGTTCTCAGAAACAGTGCGACTACAACCAAATATTCATGAAGTCATTCAAAGGAAAGCAAAATCTTCAAACATTTCTCAGTTTATATAGTGAATGTTTGAGTTTGTAAAGAAGAATACAAACTGCTATTTTTTTGAACCGTCTAATATTCACTTTTCTTCAATTTTTTTTTAGAGGAACGACACAAATTTGATCTATTTTTCTTCATGTTTTGATTTGGAATAGAATGTGTCGTGTTCCCAATGCATTTGTGTGGATGGAAATAAAAGCTATTAGAAGGATTTTCAGCTTTATTCACTTTTTTCAACACACTGCTATTATTTTGAACACAACTGTATATTACATTCACATCAGTCCCTAACCCTCAAGGGGCGTACAATCTAAGGTCCCTAACTCACATTCATACATACACATACTAGGGACGATTTAGACAGGACCCAATTCACCTACCAGCATGTCTTTGGAGTGTGGGAGGAAACTGGAGTACCCGGAGGAAACCCACGCAGGGACAGGGAGAACATGCAAACTCCAGGCAGGTGATGCCATGGTTGGGATTCGAACCAACGACCCTAGTACTGCCAGGCGGAAGTGCTAACCATTTAGCCACTGTGCTGCCCATACTCTTCATTAACATTCTCAGCTTCTGGCAGTGATACTCTGGAACAAAGTTGAGAGAGGATCGGGAGGCTTCAAACAAGGCACTATGAAAAGACCCAAGTAACACATATTCCTGCACCAAGCTGTTCCTGGGCCAGATTTTAATGCAGCCTGTTCATTCTGTGATTAGCTATTTATTTATTTAGATCATATAAAGTGGTTGTAAACCCTTAACATCTACCCACTGAAGTGACTGGCCCTAGGTGATCCACGGAAATGAAACCAATCCTCCTATATAAGTTGCACTTGTTTATCTGCAGTTTTCTCTCCTCTACAGCCTCCTAAAGCACACATTTTGCATAGCATTTCTGAACGCAGGGGGCAGGAATCTGATGTCACACACTGCACAGCATAGAACAGGAAGCTGAGTGTAATCTGATACCTGAGTGGGAGGGGATGGACATACCCCCTTCCACAGTCATAGGGGAACGTGCGCAGCTAAAGCTGTCAATCACCTCTGTGTGCTGGAGGAGGGAGCAGAGCCACCCCCTGGAATTCTGTGTTGTCGGCAGTACCTGTCACAAGTGACTCGTGCAAACAGCAGATAAGGAACCACACTAGATGCTTTGGATTGAGGCAAATACACACTATAAAGAGATCTGCTTTGTTTGTTTTTCATATCGGATGTTTACAACCACTTTAAAGCCCCACTCTGGGCTGCTGTTAAAGTGGTTGTAAACCCTTACATATGCCCAGTGAAGTGACTGACCTCAGGTGATACACAGAGAATAACCAAATCCTCCTGCATAGGTTGTACCTGTTTATCTGCAGTCTTCTCTTCATTCATCCCATTAGTGTTGAATTTATAAAGCTTGTCTGAGGTTCAGAAAAAAATGGGGTGGAGAGCTGAAATTACCCTCTGCAGTGCTCAATAAGGACATCACTGAGAGCTGATTGGAGTAAATGGACACACCCCCTTCACTCAGAAACAGAGCTGAGGCTGTCAATCACTCTCCTACACTAACACTCCTAGATTATGGGTGGAGCCAGGCTGTGCTTGCACACAATGCAGAACTGCTTAGTTTACAGTGTTGCATGGGTAACTTATAACAGCAGCTCAGAGTGGAGCTTTACATGGATTACTTCCAAGTATAACAACCTGCCTCAAATACAATGTACGCGTGATTAGGAACACCCACTTACCTCTTAAGGGTTTTGAATCCCAATAATTATGACTCGGCCTAGATTTGCAGTTTTGCTGATTCCTAAACTGCGTTCACTGGCTTCTCTCCCTTTAGGTTATTACTACGACCTGGATGACTCGTATGATGAAAGCGACGAGAGGAAGAAGTCCGAGCGCACCTCCGGAGAGTAGCTGAGCAGCCACCACTCAAGCTGGATACGTCCTCTGAGGTATGAGACTAGGCACCCCGACTGGCATTAAGGAGCTAACTCTGTGCACCCAAAGTGATTGTGGAAATCCTTTTGGTGTGCAGAAGCTCCCAATCCAATATACAAATTCTCAACATTCAAATGCTCTACCTCCACTACAGCCGTAATTTTAGATGAAAGCTATAATATAGAATAAAGATGAAAAAAGGGGTTCCAGAGCTATTAATCGTCTTTTTCAAGCAATAAAACCTACAAGGGATTCTAGCCATTCCCCTAAAAAAAAAAATTGTCTTTACACTTTGAAAGAACCCTTTCCTGAGATATTCTGCAGGGATAATTTCCTGTTATGTTTTACCTTCTTGTGCCCATACTTTGTGTCCCTTGGGTGAAGCAAACATGCACAAGGTCTCTATAATTCCAAGTAGATGGCTGCAGTTGGGGGTGGAATAGTCCCTTTCCACTGGAAGCCACCCTGATATCTGGTTCTCCTTTCATCATTTTGGGCTCGGGTCTTCATTCTTGATATGTGCTTTTTGAGGGCCCATTTTCAAACACTCTGCCAGAGTGACCTTGGGTTACTTGTGTAAGCCTTGTGACTCGGAACTCCATATGCATCTTTGAAAAGTGAACTTTTGTTCAAGAAATGTATTTGATGAAAATGATCAAATGCAGGATAATCTGCTGTTTTGATATGTAACTGTACAAGGATAATCTTCTTTTAATACAATAACAAAAATTGAGAAACTTTTATTTCTGTTACTGATTATTCTGTGCATATCATATTACCCCGTGGATATCCCAAATATCTCGATATTTTCCTTCTTTATAATATACGTGATATCTGAGTTTACAGCGACATTATACAGAGGTACATAAGCTTACCTGTTCCAGGTCATTGACTCAAATCTTCCTGAACCCCGTTGGTTAGTGTACAAGCTAGACGACCGGTGTTTTCAGATGGGGATTGGTGATGTGTCTCAGGAAAGATTTACTTTCACCAAAAATGGTCTAGCTTGCCTTCCTACTTCCTAAATGTCTCCTTGGTTTTTCTGAACTCAAGTTGGTAGCGGAGCTTTGTCTTCTACATGTTTCAGAATTTTGAGGAACCTCAACACAACCTACTTGTTTTCCTAACCCGTTTTTGTTATTTATTTTTGGTGACCCTTGTATCGAACACACAGTCTATAATTGTTTATTCAATTTTGTTTCCATGGGCAGAAGTTGGAGTTTCTTCAGATATTTGGCCTCACGACCCAACAAGAAAAGGAGCGCCTCCTGCAGCAAAAGCGGAGAAAAGCGAAGGCGGATGTTGCGAGAAAGGAGTCAGTCTCCTCCCATGATACAAAACAAGCGACAGACGCCGTCTCCACATTCTCCCCTTTCCACCAGATTCAGCCCAGATGAGCTCAACAACAGCCCCAACCTGGAGGAGAAGAAGAAAATTTCTCACGTTTTTTTCGACCTGTCGCATGTCAGTGCAGAAAAGAGGAGAGGTGAGATGTTCCTGATGGTAACACGCACTCTATAGAATATAAACGCAGTGGTGGGAAACCAGTTAGATTATGGCTGGAACTCCTCAGTGGATGTGGAGCCCTCCAAAGGGCTGCTTCTCCCTGGAGAACTCAAGAGTCACACAATGGACCCCCTAGAATATAAACCGTTCATATCTAAGGAATATAGAAGCAGCCATGTAGATTATGGCTTAATCTCATATATGGATCCTGAGCCTTCCAAAGAGCTTCTACTCCCTAGTTGATTTCTACAGTGTATAAGAACAGTGTTGCCAACCAGTTAGATTATGGCTGGATCTATCCAGTTGGATTATGGCTGGATCTAACCAGTTGGATTATGGCTGGATCTAACCAGTTGGATTATGGCTGGATCTAACCAGTTGGATTATGGCTGGATCTAACCAGTTGGATTATGGCTGGATCTAACCAGTTGGATTATGGCTGGATCTAACCAGTTGGATTATGGCTGGATCTTGCTTGTGGATCCTGAGCCCTCCAAAGAACATAGGCTTTTTTGGAGGGCTCAGGGTCTACAACTGAACCCCCCCCCCCCCCCCCCCCAGAATATACCAGTTCTTTGCTACAGGATATAAGGGCACTGGTAGGAAACCATGTAGATTGTGGCTGAATCTCGCCTGTGGATCCTGAGACCTCCAAAGAGCTTCTGCTCTTAAAATTGTTGTACAGCACAGTGCGCAACACTTCTGCCTTGCGGCACTGAGGTCCTCGGTTCGAATCCCAGCTAGGACACAATCTTCATTTGTATGTGCTCCTCATACTTCCTCTCTCACTTTAGGCTCCATGCACACGGGGCATTTTAATAACACTGGTAACGTTAGCTGTGTAAAGTCACATTAAAAACTTGTTTTTTAGTGTTTGCATTTAGTGGCAGTTTGACGTGTTTTTTTAGCAGGTTTTTTTTTACCACAGAAAAAAAATTTTTTTTTTTTTTCTGCTAAAAAAAACAAAGTCCAAGAATGCTGGTTTGCTGCGTTTCGCCAGGTATTTCAGCGTTAGAGCTTTTTTACAGTTAAAAAAACTCCTCTAGAAACCCACTAGGTCTGGGGGAGTGGGGGGTTCCTGCCAAAAGAACATTGATTGCAGTCTGTGTGCATAGACACATAGGATAACATGCTGGGGGGGTTTACTGGCTGTAGAAAAAAAAAAGCCACAAACAGCCGCTGTAAAAACGTCCCGTGTGCATGAGGACCCTAAAGATAAGCTATTATGGTGTGTGTGTTAGTGTGTGTGTTTTATATTGTAAAGTGCTGAGCAAACTGTTAGCGCTATATAAATCCTGTATAATAATAATAATAATATATAAATCCTGTATAATAATAATAATATATAAATCCTGTATAATAATAATATACAAATCCTGTATAATAATAATATATAAATCCTGTATAATAATAATATATAAATCCTGTATAATAATGTATAAATCCTGTATAACAATAATAATATACAAATCCTGTATAATAATAATATATAAATCCTGTATAATAATAATAATATATAAAATCCTGTATTATAATAATATATAAATCCTGTATAATAATAATAATATATAAATCCTGTATAATAATAATAATCGTGTGTGGTGTGTTTTTTAGTGTGTGTGTGTTTTAGTGTGTGTGTGTGTGTGTGTGTTAGAACCTTGGATTCTAAGCTGTTTGTGAATGCATGTGTAAAATGCTGCTTAATTTGTCAACTCTATAATAAAATGAATACTATTAATGGTGGTTGTTACTGTAACCCTTTTGGTTAGATGCTGCTTTTAACACAATGTCTTCATTACAACAGACAAGGAAAAACTGGTGGAAATGCTTCAGGCGATTAAGCAGAAAAATGCAGTACCTGAGGCAGTAAAGAACCAACCACCAGCCCAGAGTCGGACTACCCCGCCTCCGCCTCCTCCACCCCCTCCCCCCTCAGGTAAGACAAAGATGTATGGCCTGCCTCCTTGGATTATGGTCTTAGTCAAATCATTTACAAATTTACTTGGCTGCCATCAGTAGGTAGAAAACTGCTAAATTTGCTCAAATGCTACAAAATTATAAATAGCTGACCAAGCAAAGGGGGGGGGGGGGGGTGTCCATTTTTTCCTCATAACAAAGCTGCTTTACTTTAATCAGAACGTTACTGTATTTTCAGTAGCCATTCTGTATTTTTATTGTAATATTTACCAAGAAATGGCGTTTTATAAACTTGCTGCACTATATTTTTTTTTTTTAGCATTATTACAGATATATGAAAATGCTCCCTCTAGTGGCTGTGGTGCAGCAAGGCGGTGCAGGAGCAGAGGTAGCTGAGGTTACAGGATATGCCACAGTCTATGGTCCTTTACCAATATGAGCAGAAGTATGGATTAAGAGGAGGAAATATGAAGCTTAATCACAACGTAGCACCACTAAGCAGGATCAAAGTCTCATTCATAAAACTTTAAAAAGACTAAAGAGATCTTCTAAGGGCTCATTCACATTTGTCTGTTCCAGTGCATTGCATTAAACATGCACAATAACTTGACCTGCATTAAGACGGCTTGTTCAAATGTTTGGGCTGCTAACATACCAAAAAAAAAGAAAAAAAAAAACCTGCACCATGTTCCATGTTGTGCTGTAACACACATACATCCAAGGTGCTTTTGGGTGAATGCGTTTGGGTATTATTGATGATGAATTGCACCATAAGGCACTAATACACAAACCTGCATTAACTTGTACTGCGACAATGCACACTCGCTACACTGGAAGGGTACGAATGGGCACTAAAGGATGACCGACTAGGGCTTGTCGTTTTTTGTGGGTGGTTTTATTTCATCATTTTTCTGAAGAATCAAATGCTAATCAGTATTCCTTTGGGGGCTGTAGGGAAATGTTTGACTGCCTCACATATGTATACTTCTAAGGTCTGAAAAGCGACGTGCTTGCTTACTTTTTTAGGCCCAACCCCTGAGGACCAGCTGCCTGCTCTGCCATCAACACATCCTGACCCACCAGCTCCAGTCGCCTCTACTTCTTGCACTGTTTCTGTTCCGGAACCCGTAAAGCCTCTGGAACCCAATCGTCTAGAACCCCATTGTGTAGATCAACCCAAACTCCTGGAATCCACCAGGGTTCCTCCCCTGCAGCTTCCAGTCCAGCCCCCAGTGACCAACACACCAAACACTGACAAAATCAGACAGGTAGAGTCCCTGCCTGCTAAAAAGAGCTTGAGCATTCTGAACTTTGTGCGAGGACACCCACCCAAGGAGAACCCAGTGCAGCCTTCCCAAAGCATGAATGGGAGGAACAAGTCATGGGAACCCTTCCTGGCTGAGGAATTTGCACACCAATTTCATGAATCTGTCTTACAGTCTACACAGAAGGCCCTGCAGAAGCACAAAGGTAAGACTTACAGTAGTGAATCAAAGCTTTTGTGGCTCCTTAGCTCCATATAAACTGGTCCCCTTTGAAGACAAAACCTTTATTAAGACACATTAACCTACATCTTACTTTTATACAGAGCCTTTGAAAAAGTATTCATACCCCTTGAAATTGTCCACATTTTGTTTTTTTACAGCCAAAAACGTAAATGTATTTTATTGGGATTTGATGTGATAGATCAACACGTAATGGCACACAATTGTGAAGTGGAAGGAAAATGATAAATGGTTTTCAACATTTTTTCAAATAAATATCTGAAAAGCGTGGTGTGCATTTGTATTCTGCCTCCTTTACTCTGATACTCCTAACTAAAATCTAGTGAACCCAATTGCCTTCAGAAGTCACCTACTTATAATGAACAAACAGCATGATGAAGGCCAAGGAACACACCAGGCAGTTCAGGGATAAAATTGTGGAGAAGTTTAAAGCAGGGTAAGGTTATAAAAAAATGTATCCCAAGCTTTGAACATCTCACAGAGCACTGTTCAATCCATCATCCAAAAATGGAAGGAGTATGGCACAACTGCAAACCTACCAAGACATGGCCGTCCGTCCACCTAAACTGACAGGCCGGGAAAGGAGAGCATTAATTAGAGTAGTTAAGAGGTCCATGGTAACTGTGGATGAGCTGCAGAGATCCACAGCTCAGGTGGGAGAATCTGTCCACAGGACAACTATTAGTCGTGCACTCCACAAATCTGGCCTTTGTGGGAGAGTGGCAAGAAGAAAGCCATTGTTGAAAGAAAGCCATAAGAAGTCCCGTTTGCAGTTTGCGAGAAGCCATGTGGGGGACACAGCAAACATGTGGAAGAAGGGGCTCTGGTCAAAACACTACATGTGGTGGAAAACCAATACTGCACATCACCCCGAACACACCATCCCCACCATGGTGGTGGCAGCATCATATTGTGAGGATACATTTCTTCAGCAGGGACAGGGAAGCTGGTCAGAGTTGATGGGAAGATGGATGGAGCCAAATACAGGGCAATCTTAGACGAAAACCTGTTAGTCTGCAAAAGACTTGAGACCGGGGCGGAGGTTCCCCTTCCAGCAGGACAATGACCCGAAACATCCAGCCAGAGCTACAATGGAATGGTTTAGGTCAAAGCATATTCATGTGTTAGAATGGCCCAGTCACAGTCCAGACCTGAATTCAATTGTGAATCTGTGGCAAGACTTGAAAATTGCTGTTCACAGACTCTCTCCATCCAATCTGACAGAGCTTGAGCGATTCTGCAAAGAAGAATGGGCAGAAATGTCCCTCTCTAGATGTGCAAATCTGGTAGAGACATCCCTAAAAAGACTTGCAGCTGAAATTGCAGCAAAAGGGGGTCCTGAAAAGTATTGACTCCGGGGGGGCTGAATAAAAATGCACCCCACACTTTTCATATATTTATTTGTATAAAAATTTGAAAACCATTTATCATTTTCCTCCCACTTCACAAATATGTGCCACTTTGTGTTGGCCTATCACATAAAATTCAAATAAAATATATTTACGTTTTTGGCTGTAACAAGGCACTGTAAGTTTTTATACAAAGTTGCAGTTCAAGTGGACCTATCAGTAACTACACGTCTGCATGAATAAGTTCCACCTTTTATCAATAAAAAGTTGTCTGTGATCCCGTCAGTAACTTTGCCTGGGCAAATGTCATCAGTCTGCTGCAGGCAGGAGGAAACATTTGCAGGAAGCATTTCCTCAGTCGCTGAACCACCACCAACCCCCCCCCCCCCAGTAATCTGAATGCTAACATGTAACGTTTTGTAGCAAGTCAAAAGGTGAGTTGCTGTAGCAGGGGCTGATCTGTGTCAGACATGTGAAAACACAGTAATCAATAACAGACACCATGATTTACATAATTGTGGCATCTCCGCCTAGGAAGTAGATGGTGATCCTGAGTGATGGGGGTGAACAAAAAATGGTCCCGCAGTCCTGCAGAGAAAAGCAGACAAAGACCCTGTTGGGGAGTTTTCTGTAAGAGATAACTACCTAGAAGGGTTACACCGACACTACTAAGCATTCATGGACATAACATGGAAACATAACTGAACCTAGGTCCACTTTAACCACTTCCAGTCTGGACACTTTTTTACCCCCTTTCAGTCCAGGCCAATTTTCAGCTTTCAGTGCTGTCACACTTTGAATGACAATTGCGCGGTCATGCAACACTGTACCCATATGAATTTTTTAGCATTTTTTTGAGACCGATAAAGCTTTATTTTGGTGGTATTTATTCACCACTGGGATTTTTATTTTTTTTTTGCTATGTAAATTAAAATGTCCAAAAATTTGGAAAAAATGTGTTTTTCTTATAAAATTTGGCAAATAAATATTTAATCATAAATCTTGGCCAAAATTTATTCCGTTATATTTTTAGTAGTAAAAAAAAAAAATAACCCAGATTAGTTTATAACCAAAAATTATAATTTTTAAACATTTTTTAAAAAAAAATTTTATAATATTTTTTATTTATTTATTTTTACATACTGTCACCCTGTAAAAGCAATCATTTTTTCTTCTCTCTAGCTGCATTCTTGCAGCCATTGAGAACTACTGAGTGTGAGCTGTGATTGGTCACAGCTTGTCACATGGTACAAGGCTGTTGTGAATAGCCCTGTACCATGTGATCTCTGTGATCATTCACAGATTTCACACATAGTAAGCAATGATGTCAGAAGTGACATCTTGCTTACTACTCTGTATGTGATCACTGATTGGCCAATCAGTGATCACATGATCGGGACCTCATACAGAGGTCCCGTCCGATCGGTGTTCCACTGTGTCCGGAGGACACAGCGGGCACTGGATCGCGGTGCTGCGCGCTCCCAGGGAGCATACACAAACAGGGTGCGGGGAGGCCGTTTATAAACTGTCACCCGACCCTGCACTGCCATCGTCCGGTCTTTTATATACATGTATTATTTATATATTTTTGGTATAAATGTTCAGCAATAATACTGCAGAACTGAAAATATGATAAAGTCTGACCTGGTATGGAGACCCTATGCATATATTTTGACAAATGACCTATGTTAGATCTCTGTTTTGTCTTGTCTTCCTCCTGTGTTGAAAACAATCATGTGACCTGTGCCGTTTGGCCCACAGGAGCATCCGGCTTGCACAGCGCCGAGCAAAACCACAAACCGGATGCCTCTGTTCACTATAACATTCCTGAGCTGCAGCACTCGAGCAGGGCCCCAGTGCAACAACAGAATGGACAGCCAGGACCTGGGCAGACAGGGGCAAGCCTGGGGCAACGGCAGAAAGATGTCACTTCAGGGGAGGAGACGTCAGAAGAAGAGGAGGAAGAAGAAGAGGAGGAGGAGGATATTAAGCCACCAAGACCTAAATGGCAGGGGATTGAGGCAATATTGGAAGCATATCAGGAACATTTAGAAGGTGGGTACATTTTTTGGCCATTCTGTAACCAAGGCCGTTAATATGGCGTTGGACCCCCTTTTGGGGCTACAAGTTCCTCCACTCTTCTTGAAAGGGTTTCCACAAGATTTTGCCCCTTTGTGAGGTCAGGTACTGATGTTTGATGAGAAGACTTGGCTCACAGTCAGCGTTCCAATTTATCCTACAGGTCTTCAGTAGGGTTAAGGTCAGGGCTCTGTGCAGGACACTCGAGTTCTTCCACACCAGACTGGCCGTACCTTGTCTGTATGGAGCTGGCTTTGTACACGGCACAGATCTATACTCTGACAAAAAAGTTAGTGAAAAAAAAAAAAAAACAATAATGCAAAACATGTATTAAAAAAGAAAAACTGGTAGACTCGATGGACCACTTGGTCTTCTTTTCTGCTGTCACTTTCCTATGTTTCAATCATGCTGGAACAGAAAAGGGTCTTCACCAAACTGTTACCACAAGCTTGGAGGAGCACGTATGTCTGCAATGTCTATGATGTACTATTAACTGTATCCTTCAGAGACACCTGAACACCATCATTTGGAGGAGGGGTTCAAAAAGTTTTGCCCATATAGTGTACACAAATGTAATCTCCATAATGTATATTGGTTGGGTTAAGATTTAATGTTGGGGAGCATAGGCAGGGGGGGGTATATTTAGATGAGCGGGATTGAATGGTTGGGCTCAATTAAAAGCCATATTGTGATTGACAATGGGAGTTCAAACATGACACTTCCTGTCCCTGTGACACCAGAACAAGAAATAGGGGAAACAGTTGTCACCAGGACAGAAAGACACAAATAGTAATAAAACCCTTTTCCAACACTCTACTTGAAATGTGTTTTTTGGCGTTGTGCCCATTGAAAAGGGCTCTAGCCCTTCCCCGTTCCATCCAAAATGAAGAAAAAGGTTTGTCTGGAGTTGGGCTTTAAGAGTTTAGGGTTAGCTTGAGTTGAATGATTAAGTTTGATGGTTATTTGAAGTTTACTGTGACTAACAGCAATAACTATTTGGTGGTAGTAGTAGTAAATTTTCAGATGTAATAGTTTAGGAGCCGACTAAGTTGTTATATGGTTTTCTTCACCAAAATGGTTGCCGATCACCGGCCTCTCCTCGCATGTTGCTAGCACATGCCACAGATTTCGGTACACCTTTCGAGAGTAAATAGTCACTTCCTTGCTGTAACATGTATTCTTCTTTATTCCCGTCTTGTCCACAGAACAAAACATTGAACGACAAGTTCTGGAGACACAGTGCAAGCGGCTAGAAGCTCAGCACTATAACCTTCGTCTGACAGCGGAACAGTTGTCGCATCGTATGGCGGTAAGTGATCATCACAGGAAAGGACGCCCATAGTGCTTTTATATTCCATAATGTTTTATGAGAATGTGTTTGTTTTCTAAAGAAAGCAAAAAAAGGAAGCGTAATGATTACCATCAAGAAAGTAACATGGGTTGAGGAAGGTCAAGGAAATATTTACAATTCACAGTTCTGTTCTCTAACTCAGCGGAGTAACTTTTTATAATGCAAAATCTAGAGGAGAGCACTCTATGTATTCTCCAAATCCAGGACAAAAAGGAAGGCAAGGAGCTTCTCCTAGTGCAGAATGAAACCGAAGGCCTAAAGTTGGGGGCTTTATCAGAGATCCCATATGGGACACCAGTTTCATGCATCTTTTGTTAGCACCAACGTGGATCATCGGCCCATAGATAAGATGAAGTCCATAATTTGTTTGTAGACCTCTGTGGTCTGGAAATGAGTCCAGTTTGCCCAAGTGTTTGTGTAAGAAACCATTCTGTCTTGGAAAATATGAATGAATTCTTCCATTTCCACTATTTTCCTCAGTCTAATAAACCTGTCCCTAAGGCCAGGAACTCGTGTGCCTCTCAAAAAATCTGGAATGCACATCTGGGCCACATTATGTGCCGTCAAGGATCTCTTGTAGGATTTTAGTCTTTGATCCATAAGGTGCATTCGATATTGTGATGGCGAGGATTTTACTGAAACACCTGTAATCTGGGGGATAGTGTCATGAGCTTTGTGCCAGTAATTTGATGAGAGGACACGCCCCCACCCATAGTGCTTTTATCGTGCAAGTTTCCAACATAAGAGTAGTACCAACTGGAGTACTCTACAATTATTTATTTATTTTTTTTTTTTTTAAGAAATAGGTGAAACATTTTTATTTTTGACCCCTACACTTAAAAGAATTCCAGGCAAAATCTGACTAATCTTAAAAATGCCCCCCCCCCCCAAATGCCCATGCTTACTAGTGATAAAAGTTGGAAGATTGAATATATATATATATATTCAGACTGCACTGCTCCAGTCACGTGACCTGCGTCAGTGTGGCTGCAGGGCAGAGGAGAGAGTGCCAACAAGAGATGGGCCATGGGAACCTATGCATAACCTTGCCGCTCCCAGAATTCCCATCTATTGTCAAGCACTCGGTCCTCTCCCCTGCAGCTAGTGCTAGCTGACACGGGAATCACGTGACTGCACCAAAGCAGACTGAAAATAGGTATTCAGATCTTTCTTGCACGGGATAATCAGAATTGTTGGGCGGGGGGGGGGGTGTTCAAGTTTTGATTGGATTTTACTTATTATAACCAATCAGGTGCCAGTGATGTCACACAACTGGGGTAATCTTTTACTTCAAGGTATTCTTCATCGATTGGATTTCTAAGTTTATTATAAAACAGAAACAAACAGAACAGGACTGCATGGCCTATAAGATGTACTCCAAAAAAATCTTCACTTACTTCAAGAATTGGTTGGTGTATAATTCCAACATCTTCACTGTACTTCATGAATGTGGTGCATATAAACAACATCAAACAGAACTTCATGAATGTGGTTGGTGATATACTCCAAAAAAACATCTTCACTGTACTTCATGAATGTGGTTGGTGTATAATTCCAACATTTTCACTGTACCTCATGAATGTGGTTGGTGTATAATTCCAACATCTTCACTGTACTTCATGAATGTGGTTGGTGTATAATTCCAACATCTTCACTGTACTTCATGAATGTGGTTGGTGTATAATTCCAACATTTTCACCGTACTTCATGAATGTGGTTGGTGTATAATTCCAACATTTTCACCGTACTTCATGAATGTGGTTGGTGTATAATTCCAACATTTTCACTGTACCTCATGAATGTGGTTGGTGTATAATTCCAACATCTTCACTGTACTTCATGAATGTGGTTGGTGTATAATTCCAACATTTTCACCGTACTTCATGAATGTGGTTGGTGTGTAAAATTCCAACAAAGTAAAGCAATATGTTGCATAATATGACTTGAGTGAGAATGAGATGAAAGATCAATAAATTGTTGTATTTATTATTGAAGGATAGCTGTGGTCCATGTAATTTACAAAGGAGTTGGTGCACATATGTAACAGATATAGCTAGCTATCTAAAGAACTGGATCTTCAAAGGGTCTATTCATGACTAGACATGGGAGTGCAAGTGTAGGATCATTTAGCTAGTCACACCAGATTGGAAGAGCTACCTGTACAAGTATGGGTAAAATTTTCCAGGTGTAGGATCATTTCAATGTAGCAAGACTTGTGGTAGAGGGTTGGGGAGAAAGCCAGTGGTGTTTGATACTTTTCCTAGCTAGGTGCAGAGTTCTTGTTACCACCAATGCAAGATGAGGGTCATCGAAGAAGGTGGTTCAAGATTCCCATGATAGCCATCTTTGGCTTAGGAGTACATTGAAGTTGAAATGTAGCCAGTGCTGGACCAGTTGTTTTGCCATCTCCAGAACATCTGAATTAGATCTCCTGTAAATGACCCATTTTAGCACTTTCTGATTGTGCTGAACGTTGGCCTGAAAATCCCCAGGGCTGCTGTTAGAAATCACCCCCCCCCCCCCCCCCCTTCCTCTTATATTTACATTAAGAATACACTAAAATCATTAGCGGGCAGCAGGGGGAATTGAATCCTGGACAGGGAAGGTGATAGGTGAGGAAGGGCAGTTACAGGAACCGATCCCCTCCATGTCCTGAAAACAGGAGATCAGTTCCTCTAATTGCAACCGCCCCCACCCTGGCCTAGGCACCATACGATATTCTTGAAAAAAAAAACAAGCATAGTCTACTGCTTTTGTTTGCCAGTCTGTATAAAAAGTAATAATTTTTCCCTTTCGTCCCATTTGCAGGAGCTAATGAGCCAGAAGCAGAGAGTTGCCTCCGAGAGGGACAGGCTACAAGCTGAACTCGAACATTTTAGGAAGTGCCTTGTTTTGCCCTCCTCGTCGTGGTCTAGGGGTTACTTTAAAGGCCACCCCAGGTGACACAGTCTCCCTTGCACTAGGCCTGAATGTACAGTATAGAAAATCTATTTTATTATCTTGATATTTAATATTTTTCACTGGGAGGACTGAAATGGGGGAAATTAAAAAAAAAAAAATAAAAATAATCATCACACTTTTTGTTTGTTACTTCTGCATCACCATGGAAAAAAATTACAAAAAAAAGAAAAAAAAAATTCTATATATGAATGTGCCATGCATGACTCAAAGGATTCTGGGAGTTTGGCAAAGAGAAACAAACCTCACTTATGGCAAAGCTGCAGGCAATCCTTTCACCCCTCGACTCCGCTGGTGGCACCTGCACCCCTCATCCCACCCCAGGATTTCCTATCCATAGACTGGCTGCATTTGACACTACAAGCGAGCTACCAGGCCTCTGCAGACTGTAACCATTTGTGGGTGCCTTCCTTTCCCACCCCTGACTTATCATTACCATTGTGCTATTGTATGAGGCTGCCCCGAGCAGGATTTATTTATCACTTGTTAATTGCTGACCTTACAGGCCACCAAAATGTTTATTATATATATTTTTCCTTGCCAGGAGATGGACTTGTGTTTTTTTTTTTTTTTTTTTTTGTTTTATTTGAGAAATAATGCTTTTATTGAAATTTTGAAGTTATGGACTTTATCCTACATAGAAAAAAAAAAATTATCCTTGCAATGCTTTGCAGCGGGAATGCACTTACACCTGGATGTCCGAATGGGTTCAAGGTACCTTCTTACATTCTGGTCTGCTGGATGGTTTGAGGGATCACTGCAAAAAAAAGCTGCTACAAATCTCCCTCGTCCTTGCAAAAGTAACACCATCGGGCAGCAAAAAGCGTAACGATTGGGTGCTTTCACCTCTCCCTATTTACTGTATATAATAAAATAAGGGTTTTTGTATGTTTTTATTACGTTAATTATTGTTATAAAGGAAAGAAAAGTCTGCCATTCAATGCTTCATTTTTATTTATTTTATTTGTTTTTTTTTAAGCCAAGCGGGGTAAATAAAAAGCCCCTTTAACTTGCTATATTGAGTGTTTGTGTGATCTGCTGCTGTTCAGGACTATATATCCCATCAAGGTATTTTTTTTTTTTTTTTTTTTTTGGGAGCGAAAATTAAAAGTTCAAAAACATTTAAAAAGATAGTTGCCTGTTGCTGAGTATTGTTGGTGGAGGCAGATCATTTTTTTGTTTTTTCCTATTATCTTGATTTGCAGTCTTCTGTATTTGGAGAGTCTGATATTCGTTACCATCTCCAGAAGTGTCGTTTTTGCTAAATGTGACTGCAATGTGTTTTGAAAGGGTTGTGAACATCTGACCATCATTCCTATTTGAGGTTTTTGGACATTCCATTAAAAAAAAAACCTGGAGAGTGGTTTCTATGCAAATTGCACCAGACTTTTGCAGTCAACTTCCTGATTTTATTGCTAATGCTTACTTTAACAAGCTGAAGTTAGAAGCTGATTTGCTACCGTGGACAGCTGGGCATTCTGAGAACTTCAGTTTTAGTCAATCTCCTCCACAGTGTTCTTGAGTCTGCCAGTGAAGTCCAGCTCCTCTGCTGGGGGGTGACAATGATACTGCACTACTCCTGAGTTCAGAGCAGCATTGTCACCCTCACATAGGCTGTGGCAGCCTGCACCACAGTGGGGGTGAGATTTTTGTTTTTGGGGAGGGAGTCACTGCTGATCCACAAATCTGGTCTCTGAACTGCAGTTTCTGGGAGAGTGCGTTTGTGAGACTCAAATGAAGCAGGATTTGGCTTCCTTCTGGGGAGGTAAAGTGTGTGTTTATATATACATACAGCCTGATAATATTAGGATCTTTCACCATAACCTGTTGAGGCATGTACACCACTAGACCTCTGAAAGTATACTGTGGTATCTGGCACCAAGCCATTGGTAGTAGTTCTTTTAGGTCCTGTGAGTTGGGGCCTCCACGGATTGGACTTGTTTTTCCAGCACATCCCACAGATGCTCAATTGGATTTACAGAATTTGGACACCAAGTCATCACCTTGCGCTCGTCCTGTTCCTCAAACCATTCTTCAATTAATCAGACCAGGCCAGCTTCTTCCATTGCTCCATGGTCCAGTTCTAAAGCTCATGTGCCCACTGTAGGTGCTTTTGTCTGTGCACATGGGACAGTATGGGCATCCCTACCAGTCTGTGCCTAAGCTGCCCCCATACACAACAAAATGCAACACGCTGTGTGTTCTGATTGCTTTCTATCAGAACCAGCATTAGCTTTTTCAGCCATTTGAGCAACAGTAGCTCTTCTATTGGATCAAACTACGCAGGCCAGCCTTCACCCCCAACTTACATCAATGAGCCTATGACTCTGTTGCCAGTTTTCTATCCTTGGACCACTTTTGGTCAGTCCTGACCACTGCAGACCAGGAGCATCCCACAAGAGCTGCAGTTTTGCAATTGCTCTGACCTAGTCTTCGAGCTATTACAATTTGTCCCTTGTCACTCAAAGCTATATGCTTGCCCAATTTATTTATTTTATTTTTTTTTAAACGCATCAACTTCAGGGACTGCATGTTCCCTTGCTGCTTGATATATCCCACCCACTTTCAGATGCCATTGTAAGGATATAATCAGTGTTCACTTTTTGGCAGGGGAGGGGGAAGTGTGTGTGTGTGAGCGCGCACACCCCCCCCCCCCCCCCTGTGCTTGTGCATTATTTAGTAACCGGATTTGATAACTCTGTCCAACAGAGGCCTTTGGATATACCTTTAGTGGTTCATGCAGAGGCCCATACAGCATGTGCTTGGCACTGCATGCAGGCAGCTTGTTATGCAAGGGAGATGCAGTGACTTTATGGACTCACCTGACACGTGAGTTTGACAGGGATGAGTGCAAGGCCCCCAATACTGAGTGTTTGCATTCAGGACCATGCACTAATACCTGCACTCCAAGGTCAGATGTGCAGGTGAGTCCATACATTCACTGTGTCTCCATTTACATACTGGCTGCCTACATGTAGCTCTAAACAGCTGCAGACACACGAACAGCTCTTGCATGATGGATGGGCCTTTGCACACATCTGACTAGGCTCTAAAAGTAGAAAAAAAAGAAATACAAAACCTCTTTGCAATTGTGCAAGTTTTTAATTCGCACTCACTTTTTCCAGCATGCATTGCCTCTTACTGGTGCTGTACCAGAAGGGTGCACAATGGTGGCATCCCAGCCAATATGCTTTTCTTTACATTACTGGGAGTTTTACCTGTGGTAGAAAGGAAGAGGGCGAATGGGATTGAAGGTATATATTTTTAAAGAGTGACTCCACCTTTTTGCAAAAAGGGAAAAAATAAAAATCATTGCACCCACATTGATTGATTGAAAAAAAAAAAGTTTTTTTTTTTTGCATTGGAACTACACCTGCAATCCATCGAGGCTGTGACCATATTTCATGTTCTACTCTAAATGTTGGTGCAAGATGGGCAAGGGTCAGAAATGTGCACTTCGCTTTTCACTACACGATTGAAGCTGGTAAGGAATAGCTCTCTTTGCACTAGTGCACATGGAGTACCTGCAGTGCTGAAGCAGGATTGATGTGGAATCCAATCTGCTGAAATCATCCCAATGTCTAAAGTTACAAGCGGAAGAAGGGTCAGCTGCACATCGGAGGATAGATGAATATAGCGTGTATTTATTGATACACAAATACAGGACTTGTTAACGCATTTCACACGATCTCGTGCTTAAGCATTATGATTAAGCATGAGATCGTGTGAAGCTCGTTAACAAGTCCTGTATTCATATCCTCGTGTTTTGTGTGTCCTATGGATCAATAAATACACACTATATTCATCTATCCTGTGGTGTGTGGCTGACCCTTCTTCCTGTTGCATCGTGTGTGGTGGGAGCTAGAGCCTGTACCTGTCATGGATTGATCTGGATAGCCAAAACCCTATGACTAAGAGCATTTACTCGAAACGCGTCGGGTCAGGCTGCAGCTGTTTGACGCTATACCGCTGGCACCACGAGGGGTCCCGGCGGCAACTTTATATCAGGTCAGTACTTCATTCCTTGCTTTGTACCTAATAAGTATCTGTTTGTGAGTGGGAATAAACATCCTAAGACATACTGCACTACTGGCCTCCTGTTTCTTCTGAGCTCCTGTGGGAGCCAGTTACATCCACAGAGTGGTCATCACTTAATGAGAAGGCTGAGTGCAAAGCGTGGGATAGCGAAGGAGACCTGGCCAGATCTCTGATGAGATATTTGAAGTCCCTATATTAAAGTGCACAAAGGTTGCGCATCTGGTGAGTGCGCAGTCTGTATCCTAATTGTTTCACCGTGTGCACAGTCTGTGTCGTTTGGAAATCAGTAGATCGGTTGAGATCTTGCTCACACCTTCACGTTGGACTTATTCTTGGATATAGCATTTTTCTTCACGTTATACTCAGCCACTGGATCCAGTGGCTGGTATATGAGTGAACAGTGTCACTTTATATCTTTGTATGATCTTATGTACGTGTATACACGTTTATTCATTTGTGTTTTAGTGCTGCACCTTTTTGTATATTATGATCTGGATTGTTTGCCTGAGCGGTATACCTTTTGTTCTTTGAATGTCTAAAGTTATACTGAAGTAGCATTTTTTTCTTTGGAGTAAGGGGGGAGGGGGAAATATTTTCCAGTTGGATCCCTTTAGCCTCCTATACCAGCAACATGGACTACAGTAATAAATACCATCAACCCTGCCTTGTAATGGTGGAGGAGCACTTTAAATTAGACCATTAGTCAGTGAACTGATCTCATTCCAAACAATGCTAATTAACCTCACTGCTGTGGAAAAGGGGCTGCAGTTTAATTTTTATGCAAATGAAGGCCAGACACACCCTCCTCCTGCTCCAGGGGATTGGCTGCAGCCATAGAGCTGATTTGCATGGCTCAGAATAGCGGTAGAGGGCGCATCTGTAATCAGCCCGCTGTTACAAATGGGCTATTAAGTAAAATTATAGTTGTGTGTGATCTCCATCCGGAG